TGTTTCCCTGACTCCATCTATCCAGGTCTTTCTCGGTCGCCCTCTAGCCTTGTTGCCATTGGATTTTTTGAAGTAGGCACTTTCTGTTGGATGGCGTGTTGGTAGTCGTATGAGACGTCCGAACCATTTGATTCTTTGGTGTTGGATGTGATGCATGGCATCATTGGCACCCACAATTTCTCTGTCTATTGAGTTTCTAATGTTGTCTTGCCTGGTCTTTTTTTTACTGCTTTTCTAAGGCATCGTATTTCACATATTGTGATTCTTTGCTCCAATGTCTTGTTCGTGGTTCATGTTTGGCATTGATAGGTGAGTGTTGGGATGAAACAAAACAAAACCCCCAAAAAGAGTCGATAAGGACGAGAAAAAAACCGAACAATCCGTTTCACCTATGTGCAAGCTTAAAACGTCGAATTAATATCGGTCATTTTTTTTGTATAGGCACTTGCGCGGGAGGAAGGTTGATTTTTATTCAAGACACTTTTACTGCTGGTTTTTTTTATGCATGAACCCTTTAAAAAGTCAGATCAAGTGGTGAGGAGCATCTAAAGCTTTCCGACCCAAATAACTTGAGATCAAGACTATCATTTTTGAAGATTCGAACCCAAGTTTATCTACAACCTAGTCCAGCCTGATATTGACTGAGCTTACATGATCTTGCCCACATTGCAGAGAGGGCAACCCAATTGACAGGAGCAGATTTGGAAAGTTTTGAAAGGAAGTACATTGTATTAGCAATACCAGGATAAGTTCTAGAATAGGACAAGGAAGCTATTTCGTTGTCGCGCCAGAAACAGCTCAGGTGATGGAGGTGCAGCTGTAAGGACCTTCAGTTTTGCTCGACATTCTTCTGCAGAGATACTAGATCTATTTATATCTCATAGCAATATTGGTTATAATGACAATAAAGATCACTTCTATAGCGTCCACTCCCTCGTGGCTCTATGTACTTCCCGTTAACGTTAGCTTTTCGTATAATTATACTGTCCCATTCACATTACAACAATCCTTTCAAATTCATAATAATATATACACCCGTAATATGATAAGAGAACACTCGCACAAAAAAACAATCACTGTGACTACTGATCCCCCTTGTGGTTGAAAGAAAAATTAAATTAATTGTTATACTTGTTTACTTGTTTATTTGTGTGAAGGACCGACATCACTGCACAAGGGGCATTCCCATAAGCGCTCCGTCCCCCAAAGAAGCACATCTCGAAGTGTGTAGATGCTGACGGTTCCAAGCAATGGTTGATTCCATAACTAAGTCTTGAACTTCTGCAGGAGCCCCATCTAATTTCAAGCTCATTTATTAATTGTTACAATGAGAGTTAAATAAATGCGTTTTTAGAACAGTTTTGAATGTAGTCAAAGGAAGTGTCTCTCTTAGATGCAGTGGTAGGGAATTCCACTCTGGAGCAGCAGATGTCGAAAAAGCCTACCTCCCATAAAAAGAAGTTTACAAAGCACAGTTGTAAGTTGTCTTTTTTTGGCCAAAGTAAATTTCGAGATGTAATATACTCCATAGAAAATTAGAAGGATTTTGAGATGATAGATAGTTCAAACACGCATATCACATTATTGCAATCTATTATCAAAACAAACGACGAATTGGTATGATTTTTTACACAATCTTATTATGATTCATAACCACAACAACGAAAAGCAAAACTAAGTCAGTTCTTATGTAATTCAAATTGGCTGGGAATAAACACAGCAATAAAAAACGTCAGAACAAATTGCAAATGCAGCCGGCTCGGCGCAGAGCACAATCACAGACTCACTTTTAACTAGTGCTGGACGGCGAGGTTCCCGGTTATTGAAAGCTGGGAATCTTAGGAATCGAGTCTGATCCTAATTACTTACTTTCTTATGATGTGATTTCTTTCGTTGGTAACCAGGTTGGTTCCGAACATCTTCAAGGTTTAGGATAACCTTGATTTTTAAACACTACGAAGCATCAACTTTTATTTTTCTCAAAAATAAGTTCTAAAAAAGAAAAAAAGATTTTAATGATGAAAGTAACAGGTGACCACTGCTTTACGTAAAAAGGAAAGGGAACTTTTCTTCCTTAGCATTAATCGTAGGAATCGGTTCCGCAATCAATTCTTCGCCCAGCTCTGTTTTTAACCCATTACGTTGGACCTGACACAATAGAGCCGAAGTTGTCAGGAGCTTTTGTATGGCATTGTGGAGAAATCAGGGGTTCGTCAAAATGGGGAAATCCAAGGAACCGACATTTTCCGCTTGTTGGGCAATTTTCATCAAATTCTTTTTTGGCTCAACACCTATTTATTATGTCCACAAAACACATAAATTTGAAGCTTCTTAAGACACTCAAGCTTTGTAAGTTACAAAACTTTGGTGATCTTTTTTTCACTAATTTTACAGCTGACCAGCCTCATCTCCTTCAATCGCAAATATCTGGACTTCTATGCTAGATGGATTGGTATTTGTTTCATGAAAAGCAAGAAAATCAACAGGCTTTAAGGTTATAATATAATTAATTCCATGGTATATTATGCTTAAAAATTGACGAGCGCCTGATTCCACACTGTCGTGATACATTTACATGTATCTAAATTGTATGGATAGGGACCTTGACTATTCAAAATAATCATCAGAATGGTTTACACGCACGCACCGAGGCTGAACAGCAATATTTTCAAATTAAACTATTTCATAAAGGAAATGAGCCAGATATTATGACTTGATGACAAATTTCATTAAAAGACAGTGCACCCTCAAGCACTGATAAACACAAACACATACATAATAATATTATTATTATGAGTACCCGGTATTATTGTTTTTGTAGCAACCCAAAGAATGCACACTTTCAGGGTTCATTCTCAGCAATCTCACTACATCGGGCAAAAATCGCAAGTATTCCATCTGCAAAACTTTCATACAGGCTATATATATATTTTTTTTAAAACAAAGTGTAGTGCCACTTGCTGGGAACAAACTAGATAAGTTCTTTTGTAAAACACAATGTCAGTACGTTATTAGCACTTTTGTTTTTTCTCTGCATTCCTCGTCTTATTCTAGTTTAATACGTGTTACTTTCATGTTTCTGTTGCTTTCTGTCATGGACAATTCCTACTGTTGCTCACTTTTTTTTTCATTCTCTTTATAAGGCACTCGGTGTCTGTGGTGTAGCGATTAGGCGCTTTGTCGTCAAGGACGTGATTTCGATTCCCGTGTGCGGAAATATTTTATCGAATATCCCCTTCTGGCTACTGGAACGTCCTATCCTTCTCAGCCTGGATTGGCCCTGACAGGTACGGTCGTAATCGTTTTAGTTTTAGTATGAGTTTAACGGCACTTGCAAAATCGATACACTACAGAGGCTGTTATCCTACGTGTGCAGCACGCTTTGAAACGTAAAGAAGAAGAAGAAGAAGAAGAAGAAGAAGAAGAAGAAGAAGAAGAAGAAGAAGAAGAAGAAGAAGAAGAAGAAGAAGAAGAAGAAGATACAGACA